TTAATCTTGACATCATGTGGATGAGACACAGTGTGGGAGAATCAGATGAATCTTGACATCATGTGGATGAGTTACAGTGTGGGAGAATCAGATGAATCTTGACATCATGTGGATGAGACACAGTGTGGGAGAATCAGATTTATCTTGACATCATGTGGATGAGTTATAGTGTGGGAGAATCAGATGAATCTTGACGTCATGTGGATGAGAGTTCACGTGGTTGGCACATTCTGTCATTGAACAAACTCTGTGTTGGGATAAAACCAGTCAAAACCAGTTTGATCACGTGTATAAAATGAGAAACGAGTTAACGTCATTTTTGTTTTTGCTAACATTGTTAGCTGTGGCGGCCATCTTAACCTGGGTTCATTTAAACGTTATAGATGTGCGACTGATTTCTGAAAAAATAACATCCCCCCACTGGCAGACAACATATTTTGCTAACAGACAGATGAACACACGCACCAACATCTTTACCCACATTTTGACATGATGTAATGTTTAACGTGCGCTGGTGCACGTGACAGCATTTGAATGTGTTTGTGAGTCATTTAAATATTGATGGTCACCAGAGCAAAGTGTTCGTGACCGTTTCAAACTGGTTAAAGTTCAGTTCTGAAGGAAGAAACTGATCGATTATTAAACCTATAACGTGCGGTTATTGATTTTTACCCTGAAACTCTGATTTAATGTTGAAATAAATGTTTTGTCTGGAAGTTCTTTGATTCAAACCCTGACCCTGGTGACCCGGTTCTGGCTCAGTAATGACACAAACCCATTTGCCTGCTCAGGTTCAGGAACGTTGGTCTCACACACACACACCACACACACACACGCACACACACACACACACACACACACACACACACACACACACACACACCAGAATAAACCATCTGTTAAAGCTACATGTGGATCAGATTCCAGTCTGGAGACACTGGAGACACTGGGGACACTGGGGACACATGCGGAGACAAACTGAGGTATGAGAATCTTCATGTTCTTATTTCCAGTTTGTTGTTTTGGTTCTGTGATGATGCACGTGTGTAATTATTGATCTGTTGGGACGTTTTCGTTGGATATTTTATTAATTATTTCATGTTAAGATCAATTTGACCAGACATTTCAATCATCTCCACCTCTAACTGAAATGTTTGTGCTCGATCAATAATAATCAATTTATCGACATCTTTAAAAGTGTTGGATAAAATCACCACAAGGTCACAGGTCACTTCATCAATGTGTTGATTTTAGAACCTGCTAAAAATAATAAGTTAGTATTTTTATAATGGGACAGTTAAACTAACATCAAAAGATGCAATCTCGTTTGATTCTTACTCAAACGAAGCGCTGATGCTAAAAGTTATAATCTGGAGACGTACTTAATTCATTTTGATGCACTTTATTTTAATTTTAAAGAATGTACTTATTTCCTTTAAAAGCTAAAACACACAAAGGTGAAAACTAAGCGCAACCCTTTCAGGCTGTTCAGTCCCTGGTGGCTCCTTTGAACGAACACGTCCAAAGCTTTGAAGAGGTTTTAGTTACAGCTCCGGCAGTTGAACGTGTCGTGCTCTGAAACGAACGCCCAGAACAAACGTTCTCTCTCAACTTTATTGGTGCAGGTTCGTCTCGTCGAGCCTCAGGGACTCATTTACAACAGACACCTGGTCGAACAACCATCAGAGGAAACTCAACCTGACAAGAACTAATGAAATCAAGTCGAAACAGTTGTCTGTGTTCGACTCTTTCACCTCCTCTTCCTCGTCAGGACACACCGGCTCCACCATGTCGGTCCAGTCCCCACCCTTCATGGTCGTCTCCTTTCTCCCGCCTCACCTCCTTCCCTCCAACTCCTCCGTCCCTGAGGCCGCAGACGCATGTTTCAGGTCGACGGTGAGCATTGCAGTCTTCATCGCCTCCTTCATCAGCAACCTCCTGCTCCTGCCGCTCTTCATCCTCGTCCTCTACGTGGGACTCGAACAGTTGAAGCGGTCGTCTCTGAACCACAGTGACGTCTTTCTGCTTCACTCCAGCGTCATGTTCATTCATTACTTTCTGGGTTTCAGCCTCTACTTCTTCGGGGGTTATGCCAATCATGGAGTCCTGATGCTGACGGGGCTCTACATCTGGACCGTCAGTGGTGCCGGGCAGGCTCTGCTCCACCTCCTCATGTGCGTGGAGCGCTACTTTGCTGTCCTGAGGCCGGTCAGGTACCTGGAATTCAAAGGGACGGTCGGGGCCCGGATCAGAACTGCCAGCATCACCTGTGTTTGGCTGCTGTGCACTGGGTGGGTGATCGTGGTGTCTCGAAGCAGCAAGCTGGCCTATTTGTTCCTGGATTACATCCTTACAGCTGTCCAAGTCATCATCATCTGTTTCTGCAGCATCTCTGTCCTCTTTGTCCTGAAGCGTCCACGACCGGGGGGAACGGGCAGGAACCGGGGCGACCAAACCAAGCGCAAGGCTTTCTACACCATCGTGGCTGTGATGTGGGCGTTGGCGCTGAGGTTTTCCTGGAACCTGATCAACGGTGCGATGTGCAGCTCAGGGATCCTCAAGCCAACAGGGCTGTGTGTGTTTTATCTGTCGGATATTTGGTTCGATCTGCCGAGCAACCTGCTGCTGCCTCTGCTCTTTCTGCAGCAGAGACACAGACCACGGTGCTGCACGCAAACCACCGAGTCACGAGAGCACTGAACCACCGAGTCACGAGAGTGCTGAACCAGAGTCACGAGAGCGCTGAACCACAGAGTCACGAGAGCGCTGAACCACCGAGTCAC